CTTGCTCTTGGAAACTGTTCACTTCTCCGAACAGATAAAGTGTGCGGACAAATATCCGGGCATATTTTCGCGCCAAATGGAGGCTATTAGTTAATACCCAGTACTCAATGGTAATTTAAAAGTTTAAATTCTCTTTGTTGTTTCGTAGTAATTTCATAGGAAAATCAGTAAATCGTGACGATGATGGAATAATATTAGAATGCAAGTTTGCCTAACACTTTTTAAGGTAAATTCTTTAAAATATACGTAACGACTGTTATCATCTCCACATTTCAGTCGTACACGCCAGAGTCCTGTATGGACCTGAATCTGACTACATGCCAAACAGTGGAAGGAATCCATCAATGAAATATCACGTTTACCAACTGAGGATTCTGGAAATCTTTAAAGGCCGTGACCATGTCCAGAAGAACCTGATTCCCGCTAAAGGCTTTAACTTTGTGAATCTATACACCCCTTCGCCTCGTGTGTCCGCCGCTGCGGGCTTGGTCCCAAACTCCGAGTATCTTCTCTCTGGTAGGGTCGAAGCGGGCTACTTGTACACCAGCTTCTGTAACTGGCGCCAAAGGTGGGCGGGTGTAACGAGTGAGCAGCTGGAAGGAGTGCGAACACAGTACAACAAAGGATGTCAGTGTTTAATCGGGTTCTCGTTTTGTTTCACCAAAGACTGTCCAAGACTATTGAAAGGTTGTGATGGATTCCCCGACTCGAACTTCGACTGTAGAGCGAAATTTGATCGGTGTGAAATCAACTTCGGCGGCAATAGCTGTAGTTGGCTAAGCAGCAAGCGAAGAGGGCGTTTCCAGCAATGTGTAAAAATCTCCCAGCGTTTCTTCCCATAAGTAAGTGGAACGTCGTGCGAAATTTCTTAATTACACGAAGACTGAGTTTTGTAATTTTATGGTGATGTCAGCAACGAAAACTAACTGACAAAAATAGCGTTCCACTGATTGGAAAAAGCGATGAAAAAACATTTTACTGGTCGAAGAGCTTTAGTGAACAATGTTTATACAACCACCTATGTGATGTTTTAACAGAATGGTCATACATAGCTCTTTGAGTCCATAAGGGTATCGATGTAAACTGAAAATTTACGTTCCCACGTACCTCTTTCCAAAATGTCATAGATAAGAGGTGTCATAGATAAGAGGTACTATATCAAACATTTTAAAAAGTTGTCATTAGAAGAAATGTAGGAAATAAGTATGTGTAATCAAATGGTTTTCTCGTGAAATTAGGAAATAATTTCACTCGCGTTTTGTCAAAATTCTGATAATTTCCCGGGAATGTACTGATTTTCCTTAGATGATGTACCGTTAGTTTTTGTTTTGAAAATAAAGCTATGTTACTTTTAAAAGCTGCTAATTTTGTTTTATCGAAATATACCGCCGTAAAATAACTCTCTTGTCCTGCATAAATAGTAGCAGCAGCAGTAGCAAAAACAGTAGCTCTTTCATTTTTTCACATCAGCTAATGAACGACTTAACAAAATTACATGGAAACAAAGAGTCACATTTTTACAACACAACGTTTCGACAGTAGACATTTAATTAATTTATCCAAAGTTACATAATATAACGTAAGGTTGGTAACAGAAAGACTTGTATTAAAAAAGAATTAGTACGAAAACGTTCGTTTTCATACAGAAATGGTTCCACCCACCTTGAAGGCGGCAGATTGTCGTATTGAGAAATCTCTCTTGGGATTTTGAGAATAGATACTTTTAGTGTAAAATTTAGTAAATTATTTGTAAGTAAACGTAACAACAATACTTGTGAAACTCACTTGCTTACAAATAGAAAGGTGGAACTTAAATCGGAACCTTATATTACCTTTTCCCATCACACTTTGTCCTCAGATATGTAAGTTTTCTGGAGTTTTTCGGTAAAACGGTACAGTGATTTACATAAAAATGAAGAGTATCCGTTTGCATATGGCTTTGAGCAGACTTGCGAAGATCATGGATATCAATATTTATACCATGCCATAGAAATTACAGCCAATCAGAATACATTCTTGACGGTATTACACTCCGCCCCTCATCGTGCGCTGCGCGTACTGTATTCTATATTTTGGGGGCGTTTTTAATACAAAAATTAATCCACTCGCGCTCAATAGCTATCCGTCACTTTCTCGTATCCAACGCGCGCTTGTGGAATAATTGTTAAAAGTATATATAGTCGAAAAACTCTATTAAATGGGAACTTAAGTATTGGAAAAAAAGTTTTGAACCACATTTCCCTCTTAAAAATTCATCGGCCAAACAAGCATATATCACAATTAGGAAAGCATAGTTATAAAATAATGTTCCATAGGAAATTTGAAAGGAGCAAAAACGTGGTCAAAGCCCGATTCGTTACAGACATTTGCCAGGTTTGTATCGATTTGTCAGGAAAAAAGTCAACATTGTTGTTATTAAAAATGTCAAAAATGTCACAGTCCCCTTTAAGTTGTGAGTTTATGTATGAATGCAGGGACGAATCCAGGATTTGTCAAGTGGGGGTGGATGGCCATTGATGCATGGTACCTTTGGGTTGTAGAATGGGCCACACGGTATGCCCGCAAAATGTTTCAATTTGAGAACTGGAACCTAATTTAAAACCGTTCCACCACAAATACTAGCAATGCCACAAAGTAGAAATAACATTGAGGTACCTGTCTAGAGTGTTTCCCTTCATTTCTGCCATAATATTCAGAATTTATTTCAATTATTTTTTTTTCTCCTTCAAAAGGGGGATGGGAGCCACCCAATCCGCCCTCCCCCCTAAATCCTCTCCTGAAATGACTGCTGTTGTATAAGACCCGTCGTTCAATACGGAAATTGTCGTAGGGAAAATAACATCTACAAGTCGGTGGAAGGAAGTCGGTGAAGTTCGTCTAATGCTCGCTTGACTTCTTCGATTTCTGTAGAGGAGAAAAAGAGGACAAGACGAAGGGACAATGTTAATAACTGAAAAAAAAAATAATGGTGGAGTAAAATCCATTTAATATGAACAAAAACTACAGAGCACTGAACGGCCGTAAGGACTGCGAGGATCAGCAATGTCGAAAATATCATATATGAGTTTTAGCGGTTAGTATTTTTGGGCAACATCCCTATATGCTTCATCTCATATGGAGAATGAATAAATTCTCCTTTGCGACTGGATGTTTAGAATGAACCGTAGAGGAAAGAGGGAAAGGTGAATTCGAAAAATGGCATTTTCGTATTCGTGCCTGGAACCTTCACCTATGTCTCCCCATCCCTGTCCCACTCCCCCCCCCCCCCCCCCCCCCCC